AACTAAATGAACTCTGTATAGTCTCTATATAAGCTTGTGTGTATATATTTTGGAAGAATGATAAATGAGATAAAAGAATACATACCAGGCTATTAATGTTGGGTTTCCTCAGTAGGCTGGGAATAGGTTGGAAGAGGACTGAGAGATTCAATAGTAAGTATGATCTTGGTTTGTTATATAGCCTTCTACTGATTAATGCCTTAATAAAAATAATAACAACAACAATAAAACTTATTTTAAGAAGTTCAAGAAACTCAAGTAAATTACATAATAAAAAATGAGCTAATTGACATTTAGTTATATAACATTAAAATAGTTCTCTCTCTAATCACAGATATTAAAGGAAAAGTCTGTACCCTAAGGACACTAATTATTGTACCGAGATAGTTTAAAATATACAGGTAGATGTGACTCAATTTTTAAATTACTTCAGTGTTTTTCTAAACTTTTATTTATTTTTAGCCCATGATCTTTTAGATAGGAATCAATCCTAAAATAAGCTACAATGTCTCAACATTAAACTCTTCTCTCACCCCACCTGTCTCATCACCCTCGCTACCCAGCACTACCTTCCCTGGTTTAGAGATGCTATATGGGACCTTTACCATTACATTGCCATTACCTATAGAATCTTATTTTTATAAGAATCTTGGACAACAGGAAGGGTCTTTTTTTTAATGGCCTAGGTAACAATTTCCAGTGGAACAAAACATCTCTACTTTCAGGTCTCTGTAATTATAACTGTGTCCCTGGTCTTCACAAACAAACCAAAACTTGATCCTATCTAAACTTTTCCATGAATGAGTTGATCACAGACCTAAACAATCCTTGGCAGATACCACTTCAGCTCCCAGTGCTTGCTTGCTAGATTCGCTTAAGCCTCCATTTTTTTAAATAAACCAATAGAAAAGAAAAAATTACAGGCATATACAAAGATTTAGTAGATCAAAAAGGAATCAGAGATGTCCCCAAATGAAATAAAGTCACTATAGGACATAGGAAACTTAAGAAAATTCTAACTCATTCTTCACAGTGTGAATGCAGGAAAGAAAAAAAAGCAATCCCAAGCAAAATGATAAAAGGAAATTATGATCAAAAGAGTTCACACCCAATATGAGGGAGAAAAAGACCCACATCTAGACGTGCTAGTGAAATTTCTGAATGTCAAACAATAATTAAAGACATAAAGAACGCTGGAAACTAAGAAGGGGGGAAGAGGGATAAAAACTTACCTGTCCAGTACAATCAACACTGTCCTGATGGCAGGCACACTGAAAGCCCTGACTTAGAATTATGTATGGTATCCATGTAACAAAAATATTTGTGCCCCCTCAGTATTTTGAAATTATAAAAAAATTATACTAACATCCAGTGAGAAAAACACACGCAAATCAGATGAACATCAGACTTCTCTTGTATGAAACTAAATGCCAGAAGGTAGTGGAGAAATCTCTAGGGGCTGGTAGATTTTGAGGAAATAAGATGAAATAGTCAATCTGTTGTTCATTTATGAATTTAAGGGAAAAGTCTGGGAATAAAATCAGCAACAATGAACAGTGAAACCAAGAGTACATGTCTGAATACTTCTTGTTAATCTGTTTTTAAACTTAACCTACATTTTTGCTGGGTGTGATAGTGCATACCTGTAGTCCTGGCTACTCAGGAGGCAGAGGCAGGAGGATTACTTGAGCCCAGGAATTCAAGACCAGCCTGTGCAAAAAAGGGAAAAAAAAAAATAAGTAAATAAAAATATGAGAGAAAATTTATTTTTAAAATAAATGTTGTTATAATAATGTGGATTATAGATAATCCCAATAAGATAAAAGTTAAATTGTTTTAATAACAAGAAAAAATAAGTCAGATAATATTAAGATTGCTAATTTAAAATGAAACAGAGGAAACTTACACATTATACCAGATCATATGAGAAAATGGAAACAATAAAAAACAAAAAGTATAAAGTATGAGAAAGATAGGACCAGATATAACAATAAATAAATGTACTTATATTAGATTAAACTTTTTTATTAGAAGACAAAGACATCAGTGTCAGAAACCATAAAGCAAAAGGATAGATTTAACTACCCCCATGAAAAGTCTGTTCATCCCAAGAGACCATTAACAAAATTAAATGGCAAACCACAATTTGGAAAAGATTTTTATAATACATATGATTGGAAAATTGTCTAAAATATATATGTAATATATTAAAAGCACTTACAAATCAATATGAGGAAAGGAAAATATCTCAATAATAATAACCAATGTTAGGGAACCTGTACTATTAAAGTACATTTGGATAGCCTCTCTGGAATTCAGTGATGGATGATGTTTGCAAAGATATATAACTATAAGAATGTCTATTTCAGCGTTGTTTATAATAATGAAAACTAGAAGCAACCCAAATATTTAAC